TTTTGATCTTACTTCATGGTCTGGCTTTGTGGGAGCCTAGCCAGTTTGGAGGCTCACCTTCCTAGACCTGGATGGAGGGGGGAGGACCTTGGACTTTCCACAGGGCAGGGAACCCTGACTGCTCTTCGGACTGGAGAGGGAGGGGGAGATGAGTGGAAGGAGAGGGAGGGAAATGGGAGGCTGGGAGGAGGAGGAAATTTTTTTTCAATAAAAAATAAAAAAAAGAAAATCTCATTTCTATCACACTCCATAAAATTTTGTTTTATTTATACGCATTATTTTCTTGTAAAAAATGGTAGTTTTTCATATAGAAAAACATCTTCTAATTTGTTTGTTCCAAGAATCCAGGCAGTGGAAAAAAACACCCCTCTGATTTATTTAGAAAATACAGATTTTTTTTTCTTTTTTCCTTTATCTTTTTTATTTCCCCAATGTTTCTTGAAATTAATTAATTTTAATACCTAATATTTCATAACTGTAATTTTCTGGAGAGTGCTCGTTTAAGGAGTTGATAAAATATGCTTGCACCCCAGCCTCCGCATTTTTTTCTAAATAGAAATAAGATTTAGTTTTTAGTGAGTTAAATTCAGAAATTAGTTTATGACAAGCCAAGATTAGATTTCTACATTGTTTATCATATTTAAAAATGGATTTTCTATGTTATTTTCTAGAAGTAAATTTGTTGCTCTGGGTAATATATGCCCAGTTCTACAGTACTCTTACTCATTGTTTGAAACTGGGAATGATCAACATAGCCCTCCATTTGGCTATATTCTCCTTTGGCTCACCAGCTTCCATGGAGAGCAGTACCTCACAAGCAATGCCCAAAGGCATCTTACTTCCTCCTTATATTTCTTTGGACTAAAGTTTATTCTATCACAATTCTGGAAGCAGAGTTAACTGTTTGCCCTGGGTTGACTGTGAAGGCACACCTGGTCCTTTCTCCTTACCAAATGCATTACACAAAGTGAAAGAGACTGGCTTGGTCCATTTATATGACAGTCTAGATAAAAACAGAACTCTGGGTAAAGAAAACAGGTCAGTTGCCAGGATTTAGGTCAAAGGAGAGGACCTGATAGAACAAGAGCCACATGAAGAACAACAGAACTGGAATCTTCTCATTTGACAAGACTCACAGAATGACTGGTCTGCAAAAGGGTAAGTTTTACTCTGTACACATTGAAACTTCTAAGCATGGGGACTGGTGAAGTGACTCAGCCATTATATGTAGGTACCGATCTTAGCAAAGGTCTCAACTTCTATTCAGGTTACTTGATAGATCTATTTATGATAGTATTCTAATTTTCTTCTATACCTGTGAGATTTTAAACAAGGAATGTAACATTTTGAGTTTGCTTTCATCCTTTGCTTAAAAGAAATAATACTCCTTAATCATTCCCGGTCTCTTCCATTCCAAGTGATGATCAGTTCAAATAAGTCCAAGAACAGAAAGCAGGCTGCTGACTTAAGTGGTGAGCACTTTCTGTGGCTTAGGCGATGCTGTTAGGGGAGCCTCTTCCCTCTGGTGACTCTGGATCTCTGGCATGCTATTCTAGTGGCGGCAGGACTCAGCAGTGATGACAGCTCCAAGCCCAGATCATCCTCGTGTGTGGTTTAAAGCAACAGAGCTCCCTCTTTCTGAGTTAGCATGCACATCATACCTATTTAAGACCCGTGTCTCCAGCCCACGCATCCTTCGTTATATGCTTCTAGAGGCCCTTGTGTTGACAGAAAATTACACCTTCAACCCATAAAAAATACCTACTGCTAACAAGGATATTCAAATCTTTATTTATAATAATATTTATAATATCACATACCAAGTGGCCAGGGAAAAAACATCCCAAACTACACAAGGTTATTTGAAAGAGTTGTAACTCCTGCCACAACTTAGAGATATCCTATTATAGTGCGTGTAAAATAAGAGATGGGTCATGGATAGTAACCATAGACCATCAGAAAGCATAGGAAGCAACTCCTCCATCCACTGGCTTTCCTAGATGCTGTCACCTTAGTAGAGAAATACAGCTGCACTCAGGCACCTGGTATCCCGTCACAGATCTGACAAATGTTTCCCTTACCACAGCTGTGCTTCTTGAATGATGAAAACAATTTGTCTTTACCTGGCAAGGGTGACAATGTACATTCAAGGAAAGATCAAAGTGATTTTGTATAATGCTAGAGCCCAAGATCATAGCATTCAGGGTACAGAGGCAGGAAGACCACAAGTTCAAGATGAGCTTGTGAAAAAATGCAGATAAAGAAGCTGTCTCAAAAACGAACAAAGGTAATAACTACAGCAAAGCTGTCCCTTGTAATAACCGTTTACCTCCTACACACGCTGTAATGAAATGGTCATGACTTTAAAATAACACATTTTAGAGTCCCAAGGTCCTAAATCATGACACTGTATTATTTCTAGGCTTTGAGCTATGCTAAAAGCTATCCTGCCTCTAGAAGAGCTGGGGAACTGATGGAATCCTTTGGCTCCTGGCGAAACCCCTAAAATCTTTACTCTGCCAAGCACATTCAACTTCACTGTTCTATCCCCTTTTAAAAGGATTCCTCTTTACGTTTGGAACCAAGGCTGGTAAACATAGGCCAGGACTTCATCTCAATGCACTTAATCATACTTGTAAAGTCTTTGCCACATAAATCAGTTATCTGCAGGTTTCATAATTTGTTATAGAATATCGGTGCAGGGGGGATTATTGAATAATCTACCCAAAACATCTTCTTTAACAGTTCTCTTTCGGGAATATCAATAATCTAATTATCACAGTGATTTACTTTTTTCATGTTTAATTGAATGTCAACATTCTGTTCTATAAATTACATAGTATTTTCAAACAGTTTCTGTAGAGCTTTCCTGGAGGTGTGAATTTACAAACGACTTGTGCCTATGTAGCTATTTCATTCTAAATGAATATTTTGTCTGACCAAAGGATGCGTAAGACTCAGGAAGTAGATCATATTTACAAAGCCCAGAAATCTCTTAAAACTTGCAAGATGGACAGAGCTGCTTCCTGGGGTTAAATGAGTAGTCAAAGCAGCTTATGAGATGAGAGTGGTCCATGGTTGAAGTGCTTTAAGTCATTCAGAGTGCCCAGAGACGAAGCTTCCATAACTCACAAGGCTGAGGCAGGCTCTTTGATGTTTATTTTGGTTGATTTCAATGTTTATGTGTCACAAATTAGAAACACCTGAGTAAAGATGTTCACCTGAAGATCTGATCTGATCGCCTTGATCTGATGCAGGCAGAACCACCCATATTGTGTGTGGGCTGCGCTTTCCAGGCACACTGAAGCCAGGAGACGTGAGAAGAAAGAGGAGGCGCAAGTCTGAAGAGAGGTACCACCACATGTTAGAACACAGATTAAAATAAATGGCTTAATTCAAGTAGTAAGAGCTAGTTAGGAACAAGTCTAAGCTATAGGCTGAGCTTTCATAATTAATAAGTCTCTGCATCATTATTTTGGAGGTGGCTGACGGGACAGAAGAAACCTTATTATAGCTTTCTTTTATGTTTTTGGCTTCCTCTCCTGGACAGATGAAATAAGCTACAAAATTTTGCTCTTTATTTAGCATCTTTACCACAGAATAGTAATACTTATGATAAAAGTTAATCATTAAACATCTAACCCTGAATCTCCTAAAGGCTCGGAAAACCCTTTAGTTCCTTTTGCGTCTGCCGTCTTCTCTCTGATCTGTAGTTTGCAACATCTGAAAGGAACTAGTTGTTTTATTGACACTTCAATTATTTTAATAAGTCACTGTCACTGTATGAGCTATTCAAAACTCTTTCTAGACTCATTACAAATGGGAGGATACAAGGTTGCAGTCTACAGTCACCACAGACCCTTTCTCTGGCTTGCTCCTGCTAGACTTTCCCACCACTGCCTGGTTCCTGGCAGATCATCCTGGCAGTATGCCCTTATTCCTGGCAATACCGCCTAGTTCCTGACTCTATTCCTTCATCCACCCTTGTATGTCTTCCTAACTCATAGTTCATGGGAAATGCACCGTACAAATATTTTTAAAACCTCCAGATTTTTTTCACTCCTAGGTAGGAGACAGACCTTCTATCCAATCTGAGAG